ATTATTGCCAGCCAATCAGGTTGCACGAAAACCACCTCTCGCCTAGTGGTATATACTTTGTGACCGAAAACAATCCTCTCTGGACGATCAAACCACCTAATCAATATAACCGTTGGAGTTCTTGGTTCAAACCAGTTCTTGCATGACATGACATGAACGTAACGAAGGTTATTATGTCGTTATAACATTTGTGTGAATATGAAGGTGAAATGATAAACGGGCAAAATAGTAAGATTGACAGAGTGACATAACCGTGGTTCATACTAGCAACACAAAGACGTAACAACTGAAAGAGATCACTGTATCATTATGTTAGTGGTGTGAACAAGCAGGCATGACAGTCAAGTAGCAAAAGTTCAACACAAACATAGACGTCTATGACAATAGAAAAAAGTGACCTCTTCTTCATGCCGTTATGTCATTCTAGGGAAAGTGTAAGCCAGGTTCAATCAAACAGCAATTCCAAGTTTAGGGACTAATGGTAAAAAAGAATCCAGTTACTTATGGACCCCTTAAAATATTATATATGCTCGATGCATCAAGATTTCTTTATGCCATGGCTATTCATTTTTAGTTACAATGATTTTCTAATACCATCTACACGTGAAGAAAAGTTGATCTCGCTCGTCCTAACAGATGGTGTGCATATAATAAAGGAAAAAAGCTCGAAAGCGCTTAACATTTTTTACAACTGAATACTCCAGGTAGAATGAAGGGCAAATGGAGCAGGCCAGAAGCTTATAGCTCCATTATGGAAGAATGGTTCGCTCCTGGATCATGGAAAGCGTAACAAGATCGACTTCGTTGGTCCATCAAAAAAACCTTTGCTATTTCAAGGGCTAAGAGACCAATAATGATATACTTGCAGACTATTCCGTAACGTTTCTACGCCTCTACAATACTGACACAGACACCACATGATAGCGAGTGTTCAGGAATTGCAGTGGGGATCTTCATATTCCTATCGACTAGTCGCGATCATTTTGTACTGTATGATGCGCCAAACACACAAATGGACTTTTCCGTCTATCCTAAAGCTCTTTAAGATTTCTCTATTACATTCTCAGGAAACAATCTTGTCTCACACAAGCGTTTCAGTCGGTGCAAATTCCTGCCTCGCATCCTGTTCATCTACAGTCTCGTTATTTTTTCTAGTCCACTTTTCTTTCATTTGTAGAAAAATCCTCTGCACCCGATCATTGCAATGGTGAATTGCAAAAAGAGCCCACTTAGGTCTTCTACCTTAAGTTGAACTGGAGGAGTTTCTCTCGGTCATTCATATTTTGACGCCCAGAATTCTAGGATAAAGTCCGTCAGTCCCTTAGCTTTAATTCTTTGAGGAGCCTCTTATACTTGGAAAAACAAAGAATTGTTCTTTTTAACAGCAATGGAGGTTCGAGACATTACAAAAGGTTCACCAACAACTCTGAGTTCACAATGAGGATCATTCCTTGATTCATATTCCAAGCCCACGTGATCTGCGACGAAAACGTCCAGACTCCCGTTCATAAAAATCAAGCAAAATGATGTAACATTTCTGATGTTGTTGTTGTTGTGTGTATGTTGTGTTTTATTTTCCAAAATGAATTTTTTCTCTAATTTTGTTCCTAGTTTAGAAAACCAGCAACCACACGCAGAGCTTGCATGCTTGAGAGAGCTGAAATAAAGATGATCAAAACAAGATTTAACTGAGATTTCGGATTTGAAGATTCGTCAACTTTTAAAAGTACAATCCATCCGGGAAAGTAGTCACCGTAGCCCAGAGTGGAAAGTGTAGCGAACCATGCGTAAAGGCTTCTACAAAATTCCAACCTTCCACGTACATTCCTTCTAATCCACCGAGACAAACGGTCAGAATCATGAGGGCAAGTGTCACAAAAACACTCTTCTTCTTAACGTTTTGAGGTCGTGTCCTGCTGAGTACCTTTGTCTCGATTACGTAAACGAAGTCATAAACCAGTTTGGAAATCATTTTTCCCATTGTTTTCAGAGTTAGCATCGTCAGAGGAACACCAAGAAAGGTGTATAAAACAGTGACGATTTGTCCAAGTGGAGTCTCTGGTGTAATGTGGCCATAACCTAAAAGAGGCAAGGTGAAATGGTTAAGAAACCTTACGGCCTCTTTTAATTCATGTTAATTTTAGGCTTTTTGATCACGCTCCAATAAGATTGAACTGACTGACCAAGAGAGACTCGCATGAATCAAGATGATGTGAGTAAAAAAACTTAGTTTTCACGGGCAGGGTGCACTGTGAGACGAGTGCAAAATATGGAGTTCAACTCGACATCTCACTCGTTCGCTGTACTCACCCGTGAGCTATCAAGTTAAACACTCGAAGAGAAATTCCGTATCTACGCGCGCGCATGTATTATTCCCTGTTTATAAAATGTTCAGAGAAATGTGCGCGCCGTGATTGGTGAGAACGAGTTCATTATATTTCCATAAAGCACGCGCCTTACGTCACACGAGTGCACTGTTGAGATATAATGCACGCAGCTACGTCATCGGTACGAGCGCGCGCAATTCACGATACGTATTAAAAAAGAAATAAACAATCTTGTGCGTCAAGCATTGTTGAGTTATATAAGCACTTAGGAATTTTTAAGAACACTCGAGAAGTACGAGGAGCAATCGTCTTCGGCTTGTGCTTTTCCGCACTTCTCTCATGTTCTTAAAACTTCTCGCGTGCTTATAGAACTCGACAATGCACTCAGCGATTTTTAAAATTCTTTGGTAATAGTACGATCACTCGTGTCATTTGGTGTGAATAATAAGACTACTAATTGGGCTTGCCGCGCAGACTCGTGTAATTTTGTTGCCTTTGAAAAATTTACTCGTGTTTAATGACACCAAATTGCACTCGAAATAATATTATTTCCTCTAGAAATGCACATTCTCATAACTCTGCTGTATCGCTAGACATTACTTTCGACGAGGACAGTCCTTCGCGAGGCCCAGGGTTCGAGAACTTTAATAATTCGTTATCACGTGATAACGACTATTTTGAAATATTAACTTTCAAATTCTCTAAATTTGTTATGTAGCACCTGAACAACTAAATCACACTCGAACTAATATTATAAGCTCTAAAATGCGCATTCAGATAACTCTGCTGAGTAAAATTTCCGCACAGCCCCATACTACATTCAGTGCATTCAGTGTGTTATGCATTCAGTTCTTGGATAGAGAAAACAACGCCAAAAAAAATACATTGCCACTGAGAAAACAGATTTGTTTTACAATAGCATGGGGCTGTGCGGAAGTTTTACCCTCTGCTGTATCGCCAAACATTACTTTCGACGAGGACAGTCCTTCGCGTGGACCAGGGTTCTGGAAGTTTAATAATTCGTTATCACTCCATACCGACTATTGAAATATCAACTTTTAAATCTTTTTAAATTTGTAACCCAGCAGTTAGTAAAACGCATACAAAAATAAGGCAAAGGAAAGCGGTCGAATTGGTGAGCCATGACACCAAATAATAACAAAGGGATAACAGTCACATTTTTGCTTGTATATTATTAACTAGCAATACGTAATTTTTCTTGTGCAATTTTTCAAAAACAAACAATTGCACCAGCCTGTAATTTGGTTAGCCTTTAAAAATTTACTCGGGCAGATCTATTCCAAATTGCACTCGAAATCAAGTGATTACTTGTACAGACCACACATTAAATAATTAAACCAGTTGAGATGTTGGAGAACACGACAAAAGTTTGTTTACAGTTTTCTCTCGTTCTCCCAACATCTCAAGTACAGTATTCACTGCGAAAAAAATCTACCTTTCAGATTAAGATCTTTCATATGGTATATTTCACTCTTCTTGTTATTGTTCGGCCTTAAACCATCTCATTATTATAGGAAAATGTTATCTATTTGTCAAAGCCAACGGTAAAAACAGATTCCAGTCTTGCGACCTCGTCTCCTTAAATTGCTACAAATGATCATTAAAAAAACACTTTGCATTTAAATCAGGTGAGGTTTTTTTTTCGGCCCAAAATTCAATATTAAAAAAAAATAATAAATTGCGCTGGTACGGCGTTCTTTCATGAGTTTTCATAAGCTCCTGTTTTCAAGCAATCAAAGTGATTTCCATTTTAATGAAAACATAATAACCTGTGTCTATCCAGTGACTCTATGAGCAAGATATTTACCAGAACTTATTAACATGCTATTTCAGAAACAAATGTCACTTACCAACAGTCGCCAACGTTGTCAGCGAAAAGCTGAGGGAACTAAGGAAGCTCCAATCCGCCTTATGACCAACTTGGACCACTTCGAAAGCTCTATGGATGAAACTTTTAAAATTGTTCTCCTTTATGGAAACATTGAAGCTGTTTGTAAAGTTTGTTTGCAGCTCTCGAGAGAGTCTTAAATAAACATCCCTATTGTCTTCGGGCTTTTTCTCAATGCAGTAGAAAAGGCCTCCTCCAAATAAGGCATACGCAAAAAGCAGTGAGACTCTAAACAGACTTTTCATTAGCAGCTTCTTCATTTTTTTTTCGACTCTTCTACTTAGCGCTGTGGAATAAAATATAATACAAATTATTGGAATAAAGGCCGAGGCAGTTATCGCTCCTTGACTCGTGCCATTTTGAAGGATACATGAAGACGCATTGTTTTTTGGCTTAAGTCCGGTCAGGAAATCAAAACAAATCCTGCTTTTATCAGCAAAGACGTATTCTAGCATATTTTTGTAGAAAAAAATGAGACCAGAACACGAACAAAATATTAAAATAAACAAACGATAAAAAAAGGCAATAAGAAAATCGTGAGCAACCCTTTTCGCTTTCAGAGGTTTTGCCTTCTTAGATCGCTGTAAATTTCTCTCCTTCACCACTTAGTGTCATAAAAAGTCTAAAGGTAATTCAGTTTATCCCAAAAAACACTACCTCCTTCCTTCGCGTAGTGGGCAGCTAATGTACATCAATTAAGTCAAGACAGAAAAAAAGGCGTGTTGTTATTTTCCAAAGTAACATCTAACCGTGAGTGACATTACGGGAAATGGTGATACCTTGCCGTGGTGATTACGACTGAACGGTCGACGTTGATAATGAAGTTACTTTTTGAATGGCTCGGTGAAAAATATAAGGAAAATGTCTCTCCATTTACGACAGAAATGATTGCCGCGGTGCAAAAAAAATTAAGATAGCTTTATTTAGGTTATCTGGCAGGAAACATTTGCAAGATTTATCGCCTGGGGACTTGATCTGATGAGGGAAGGTGTTTCATGATTATAAGATTTGATAGTAAGAGAAAATCAGAGAGTGGAATGCATTGTTTAAAATATCTGTCATTCCTTCACTTTTTCAATTTTAATTCATTGTTTTTTTTTACATCACTTTTCTCTGACAAATTTGAAACTTAAAGTAATGGTTAAGCACAAGATATTGACAGAAATAATACACGCAGAGCAAAAATGAAAAAAACATGATTAAAGCAAAGACAAAGCAAGATAATTACACTCAAAAATTGACCAGACAACAGAAACGCTGATGATTAATAGTCTCTCCTTTCCCTCTATCCTAAGACATATAATAAATAAACCCCCTCAGTGGTTGGTTTGTCGGCTGTCCACGGCTAGCTGAGAGATTGTCGGTAAAAAAGAATATATGGCCGAGAAGCGAAGGCTTCGAGGAAGAATCTGAAATTTTGAGGACAATCCAGACGCGGAGGTAATTATCAGCCAATATACCAGCAAGCTAGAAAGTGGCTTATTTATTTTAAAACTCTCCCATTATTTTTCATATCGCGCGAAAACCCCTCTTAAAAAAACTAGTTTTGTCTGATAGTGGATTTATCTTTGTGCCCAGTATTTTAATATCACCAACACTGGATTCTACAAAACGAGTTTGTTTTTCTTCCGTGCAAAATGGTAGAGATGGTAGAGAAAACTCCAGACAGGAAGCTGGCTTCCTCACGCTGGCTTTGTTCCTTTTCAACGATCGCGAGTATAAAAAGAGGTTAATTATAGATAACTGACCGATGAATTCGCTCCGCATGACTTAGAGTATTCAATAGAATCTCGCTAAATCAATGGGTGGGTTACATCCATTCAGCTTTGGAAACGTTTATGCGACAAAAGTTTCACACAAATTTACCCGGTAGGGATTTCAGAGAAAAAAATCACTTAAGGGATTTACCATTGTTCCTTTCTGTTTTATACCACGTCTCATTCCACTAGTTTTGTCTATTTTTCAGTAAGGTTTCCGTTTATGGAAATTTGGTCTGAATTTAATGCTGATCATGACACAAAGCTTGGAAGTTATAAATCTTTAGTTTTAGCATATCAGCTAGCGAACTTAACGATTTTAATGACGCAGTAGAATGTTTGTGTCTTTGAAGAAGCAAGCTGCATATTACATAAGAAAAGTCCGGAACGCCACAGATCTTCATTTATTCCAATTTTGCAGAGTTTTCTCGAGAGAGTAAAGATGACTTGACTTTAATTGCATCTCTTCCGGCCATGAATTATTTGAGAACATAAAATTATTCATTTATTACTCATTTTTTTGTTTGTTTGTTTGTTTGCTTCTGAAACGCCTCGTCTTATCTTTCTCTCTCGTATCAATGAAGTTTTTTTTATGATAGTGTTTGTCTCACATTTCAGAAAAGGGGATTAAATCACTTCCCTGCAAAGTTCATTTTTGAACTGAGTGAGGTATGAAACATTAACAGATTGCAGTTTTTTCAGAAAGATTACAAAACATTTCGTTTTTTGATATTACTCAATTCCTGTTGTGTAGCTCTACTAATGACAACTTCACTGAATTAAGATAGCTATCCTTGAATCTCCATGTTACCTCTTTTACTACAGAGGTGAGGTAAAGATCCAACACTTTTTACGACTCCGAGGTAAATAATTGTTTTCGTATATACCACACAAGTACCAAAAAATAACTTTATTTCTGAATACTTGAGAAAACAGATTGTTTTACAATAGTATGGGGCTGTGCGGAAGTTTTACCATTCGTTGTCACTCGATACCGAATATGTTGAAATATTAACTTTTAACTTCGAAAGCTCTATGGTTGAAACTTTTAAAATCGTTCTCGTTTATGGAAACATTGAACTTTTTTGTAAAGTTTGTTTGCAGCTCTCGAGAGAGTCTTAAATAGACATCCTTATTGTCTTCGGGCTTTTTCTCAATGCAATACAACAGGCCTCCTCCAAATAAGGCATACGCAAAAAGCAGTGAGGCTCTAAACAGACTTTTCATTGACAGTTTCTTCATTTTTTTTCGACTCTTCTACTTAACACAAATTATTATGTAAAGACGTATTCTAGCATATTTTGTAGAGAAAAATGAGACCAGAACAAGACCAAAATATTAAAATAAACAAACGTTAAAAAAAGGCAATAAGAAAATCGTGAGGAACCCTTTTTGCTTTCTTTCTGGTTTTTCAGAAGTTTTGCCTTTTTAGATCGCTGTAAATTTCTCTCCTTCACCACTTAGAGTGTCATAAAGAGTCTAAAGGTAATTCAGTTTATCACAAAAAATGGTATTTCTGACGAATGAGTCTGCGAATAAGGCAGAAATAGATATTTTGTCGGCACGAGATACGACAAGGCCTGGGCCTTAGGCCCGAGCGTCATGGGTAATGATGCAGTGGTATATAAGGGAAAGTATAGCACGTGATGTCCATCTAGGCCTCAGAACCAACCGTTCACCTCTGGCTGATGACAAATTTAGTGGTCTCTTGGAGCAGACCGTTTCTCAGATCAAACGGTCGAACGAAGAATCGGCGGAAAGTCAGATGAAGGAGACCAAGCGCCTCAAATTCAACGAGTCTCTTAAGAAAAACAAAGTGACTAGAGGAGCGCTACAACTCAGGTGTAGTTCTTTCCTTTGTTAATATCGAAGCTAGTAGTTTGCCTTCGCAATCGGAATTAGGCAGTGCCATTGACTCGGATCCTAGCGTTGCCGCTTGTGCTGATTCTTTCTTGTTAGATTCCTTCGGATTCAGGCTCTCTTGCAGTTGATTTGACCTATTCTTCTGTGCGTGGAGGGCTTAGAAAATTTCTGGATTTTTGACGTACTTTGGAAGTTTCGCAATTTGTCCTAAATGTTATTATGCAGGGTTACAAAATTCCCTTCCTTCAACTTCAAACACCTTTTGTTAAGAGAGACAATACTTCTGCTCGTGAGAATAGTGATTTTTGTTTCGCAAGCTGTCAGCGATTTACTTTGCTTGGACCTAATTGCATAACTTGCTTGTAAGCCCGATATCATTAACCCACTTTCAGTTTCTACCCGTAGTTCGGGAAAGCAAAGGCTCGTTTTGAATCTTTGACATGTCAACCAGTTAATATACGAACAGAAGTTCAAATGTGAAGATCTGGGTGTCGTTACGCAGTTGTTTTGATCGTAATTATTACTTGTTTAAATTTGACCTTCAGTCTGGTTATCACCACATTGAAATTTTCCCAGACCACAGAAAATTTCTCGCTTTTTCTTGGGATTTTGGGAACGGGGTTTCAAGATATTTTCAGTTCTGAAAATTTTCAGAGCTCATAGAGCCTCTGTGCTTCCTTTCGGGTTTTCTTCAGCCCCGTATGTTTTCACATCGATTTTTAAGCCATTACAGAAATCGTGGAGGAGCCAGGGCATCCCGATAGCTCATTTCCTCGACGATGGTTTAGGAGGGGGAACAGATTTTGTTTCTGCTAAAGTTAACAGTTTAGTCGTCCATTCAGATTTGCTCAAGTCTGGATTTGTTCCTAATGAGGAAAAGTCCCTTTGGGAGCCTCTCCTAGTTATCACCTGGTTGGGTGTGATTCTCGACACTATTGATGGGACTATACAAGCAACCGACGAACGTATTGAAAAGTTAAACGCTGGCCTTGTTGAGCTACTGTCTTGTCAACCTCCCTGAAAGTGCACGTGAAGGGAGTCGCCATTGTAACAGGTCAAATAATTTCCCTCTCTCCCTGTGTGGGTTCCTTCGCCCGTATTATGACTAGATTTCTTTTCTTGGTCGTGAATTCGGCGCGCTCTCGGGAAAGCGAAGTTTTTCTCTCAGACGACTCTCTTTCAGAAATCAGTTTCTGGAAGAACAACTTGGGATTCTTCAATAGCAAGGTTTGTTCGTCGGTCCAGTCCCTTCCGGTCAGGGTCACCTTTTCAGATGCCCCCAATTCGGCTTGTGGTGCTTTCGTAAAAGAATCAAATTTAGTATTTTATCAGAACTGGTCTCCTGTAGTGCGTGCCTAAAGTTCTACATGGAGAGAACTCAAAGCTGTTTGCCTCGCCTTGGAAGCTTTCGCGAGTCATCTTTCTGGTGTTAAGGTTATTTGGTATTCCGATATCCAGAACGTCGAATCTATTCTTCAAAACAGTAGTAGGGTAGCTGACATGCACCAATTGGCCCTCCTAGTTATCCAAATATGTCTTGAGTTTCACATATCACTTGAGGTTAAGTGGATCCCTTGGGAGCTTAACGCTAAGGCTGATGCAATAAGCAATTTAACCGATTATGATGACTATACCATTAA